CACATTTCACTACTGTTTTTGTTACACTGATGCCGCATTTGATCTGGGCTAACAGCTCAGTTATACTCTCCACAAACAGGAGACGCTTTAATTGTTTTCAATGCCTGTTTGAAGATATTTCCAGAACGGTCAGTATTTTGCAGGCATAGATACAGTTTGATTATTGCAGSATTCAGGTCATAAAAAGTAATAAAAGCCACAGAAATTCATTATGCAAACAGCACGCAATCGCAATGGTAGCTATAAAAGGTGCCCGTTTCCTCTGTGGGGGCAGCAGCCTATTCAGAACCCATCTCCTTCCCTGATGCTTCTTACAGTTCACCCCGGCATTTGGCACCTCTGGCTCTGGAGCTGCTGTGCGTGACCCTGTGCAAACTACGTCCAAGCAGCAGCACCACTGGGTGCAAAAAAGCATTTACTGTTGCAGAGGAGACGCGGCAACCATGGCAAGAGAAACTGTGCCACAGCATCACRCAGTGAGGGAAGGAATACGGCTCATTTATCATCAGTTTGCTGCTGGGTATCACTAACAGATGTTGACAACATGATTCAAATACAGTACTAAGACCAAACACCTGATGGCATTTTAGTTGACAATAACCCAAGGAAGATACAAAATGACTTAAGAATAGGATTGTGCCACACCTCTAATAAATGAAAAACTGCAGGGCAATTTCTACTTGTTTTCTAATTATCATAAAATATCCAAACGCGACTATGGATATGTAAAAGGCAATTTTTTTTCACTGAGGTAAATACAGCAAAACCTAAGCAATGCTAAAACCTTTTACCATGAATGTCCTGCCAACTAACTGATAYGTAATTGGCATGGTAACATGGATTAAGAATTCTTCTTAGTTACTTTTTGTCACAAACTACAGAACAGGTTTTCACAATGTAAATGTGAAATGCAAAAACAAACAGTATTAGAATTTCCACACCATTTTATTAGATCTTCCTCATCAGTTAAACTTTAGGGATAACTTTGTTATGGCCAAGATGATGACATCTTCATGGAACAACTTACTATATTAGGAAGCAAAGAGGAAGCTTTTGCCAAGATCTCCTTTAAAAAGAAGTATTAATTTGGATAGACAAAYGCAACATTTAAAATTCTGAAGAGATCCCAAGCTCTTAAACTGTGTTTTTCAATTATGCTGCTTTAGAAGCATCAAGCACATAAAAACTGAAGATTGTAGTATCAGAAATATAACTGAAGACTAGACTTCATTTTAACCCTTTCAATTGGATATATTAACTATCTTTACAACAAAATCAAAGATTAAGTGTCAAATTGTATAAATCTGTTTTAGTGAGCAAGGTGTAGAMAACTAAAGGATGCAAGCAGGCTTAATTCCTTCTAGATGTACACTGTTTGGTTTTGTCTTTGATTTTCATACCATAAAGCAAGTTTTCCACAAATCTTTTTTAAAAAAATAACTTTATTGGTTACAGTTATATAAAATGTGTATGATAGTTCCATCTAGTTGGCCATTAAGTGCTTGCAACACCACCAGCACCACTCTTTACAGCTGACAAACCTGCATGGTGTAGTGCATGCTGGAAAAAATCCCTCTTCACTTGCTTACCTGCATTTAAAGTATCTTCAGAAAGGCTACAGCATTCAAAAGCAATGACAACCCCATTTGTATGTCAAATTGCAATTTTTAATGTTTTCATTAGAATAGACTTTATATCACTCTCCAATAAAAGAAACAATATAACTAACAGCAAACTTTAATACAGGAACATGCTCCAGATCAACAACCCAAAATGAAAACAAAATGAAATTAATGTAAAATGTAAATCACATATAGTACAATTGAAGTGTCCAAAACAATTTAAATAATTTTAAATATTTTATTTTTTAAACTTGCTACAAATGCTTTATACAATATTTCAACATAAAGTCCCCATAACAGAAATGTAACAAAATGGGAATGATAGTGAAAGTGAAAGTTAAAGTGGCACAAATTCACCAAACAAGTATTAAACTACAATTTTTAAGAGGTAGATTACTTTTTAAGTCAAGAACAAAAAATAAAAGGGGTGGGTGTATAATGAAACTAGTCACTTTCCATCAATTCCATCATTCATGTTGAAAGCTTTATGAACACACAAGAAATGATATTTCCATAAATGCTGTTTAAGAACAACAGACCGATTTGTTGTTTTAAGTTATTAGATAGAGGTGTAAGATCCTTTAGAGCAATTATATATTTAACTTTCAAAATATACAGGTATGTAGCCCTGTTCTACCCTTTTTACCAATAAAAAGATACACTGTATTCATTATAAATTGGTATTGTTATTTCATTGCTATATAAAGTTGTATTTAAATGTATAAATAGGAACTTGGAAAATTCATAAAACATCCAAATCAGGCTTTTTTTCCCATCATATGCTGGCCCTCTAAAAGACTCAGAGTGAGAGAGGGTGGGAAGGAAAGGAAATTCTGTCATGCTAAGGAACCTCTCTACTGATTCATTTAAAAGAAAGGCTGTARGAGACTTAATACATGACCAAAATACTTTTGAGTGTAGCAATATTTTTATCCCTGAATCTACACAACTATTGATAAACAGGGAACCTGCCTTGCAAGGTTGACAACTGAGCTGTTTGTACGCATACCATTCGTGAAGGTATGGGGCCAGTCAGGAAGGTATGGCCAAACTCAGGAACCTAAGCATTCACTTGACTAGATTTGGTTAATTTTTCTGTTTTTGTTTTGCGTGCGTTTTTTTTTAATAGTACCCTTCCTTATCTGAATCATCCTGTAGCTCAGCATGTGTGTCAGGTACCAAATAAGAAAATCTACACCTGGCACTGAGTATTAGCAAGAAGCCTGCAGGCAATTTTATGATTGTGAGTCAGCTTCAGCTGGTTTTGCAAGCTTGGTGGATTTCACATCCATTGTCGTAGTGCTTATCCTAAGTGGAGCATGCAACAGCTCTACCATGTCATTAAGGGACTTTTGTTTTGTTTTTACAGAAGATTCCTAGAAAATAAAAAACAAAAACTAAATATAAATGACAAAACAAACTATTTGTGAACGGAGTATGTCTGTACAGAAACTGAAAGGTAAAACCATCAAACAAAAAAAAAAAACAAAAAAAAAAACAGATTCTGAGACAATTAATACATGAAGCAAGTGGCCTTGAAAGAATATTAAGAATCAAGATCTCCTGGAAAGAAACCCAATGTCTACATAGAGCAGATTCAAAGTCACCCTGTGATGATGTTTGTCTGTGATGACATTAGTGTCATCACATAGCAGTGTATAAAGGTAAAAAAGGAATTTTTTCACTCTTGAGATAATGAAATAACAAAGAGATAATGCAATGAACTGTTTATGAACATTATTTCTGACRCAAAAAGCAAAAATTCTTCTAGCGTAACTACTCATTAAACCAAACTGCAAGGTGTCAAAATGAAGTGTACAGTACCTGAAACAGGGAAATCTTACTCGCAAGTAAAACTTTATTTCCTCCTATTAAGCAACTTCTATATGCACTAATTTAGAAGCACTYACTCTTTTTGCTTAAGGTCAAGCACTTAATTTAGATGAAAAGATATATCATTCTGGCTTCAAATTCTACCGATCATGTAAAAGACAGTTTTGCACCTATCACTAAGGAACTGATCAGAATTAAGTGACACAAATATACTGATGGCTTGAGAGAATACGTGTGGCTGACTTTTCTTGTTTACTAAAGGCATTTTCTATGCCATTAACCAAATTCTAGTAATGCACCTTCTTCCTACAAATTGTCCTRATTTGGGTATTAACAATTCTAAGTCAAATTCCTGTCTAGCTCCTCAAAATGATTCTGTTCTGTTGAGACTTTACTGTATATGAAGCATTTCCACAGAACTGCTGCCTCAAAGGTCTTCACTGTAAGAAACAGAAGCCACACGTGGTTTGGATTTTGCTGCTTCTTGACGAATCAATCAGGGAACACCTCATCTGAAGGAGGSTGCCACTGCCCCCGCCACCCCTAACCAACTGTTTTGATAAATTACCTTTCACCATAAATCTTGTGGTGGTAATCATAGTCATGGACTACCACTAAAAATAAGACAGCTCTTAATTACCAATCACCATTCCCAGTGAGTTTTGTGGAAGCTACTGAGGCAATTCAGATGTCTATATGCCAGGAACGACACAGCAAGAGCCTGCCAGCAGAAACACTGCAGTTTTCAAACTATCCTGTTGATTTGAGAGACTACGCAGGAACTTTATGTGGGACTCAGGCACGTAGATTAAGATGGTTTTTAATTGTTTTCTGCTTTTAAATATTATCTTTACTTGTGATTAAAAGAATACTTTATCTCAAAATGAAATATAGTGGTACTTTAGTTATAAAATTTGTTTATACTAAAACACAAGGGCATAATACTTCTCACAAAGAAATTGCACATTCTTACCTCTATAGAGGAGCAACAGATGTGTAAGTATTTCGCGATCTGACTCAATTAGTTTACACACAGTTTTTTTTTTTTGAAGTACTTAGGGTTTTTTTAATTATTATTTGATACACAGAGAATATCTTTTATTGAAGACCAATAAATTCAAGCTGTTTTGGTAAACAGGTAAAGACGCAGTCACCATTTTTAGCTTAATGAACCACCATAACTGAACAGACAATTATTTTGGGCAACCACTTGCCAGATATCAAATACAAGGTTGTCATCTTCAAGGACGTTACATTTATTGACATAAGGTTTCTATGCACTCAGGCACTGATTTTTTTTTCCCAGMATTTTCAGTTCAATTCATAAAGACATTTTCTGTACAAATTATGCATTATTTCCTGACAAYGTGAAAAAATGCATTAAGTATGTACATCATACCACAGCATGACTGAGCTGCTAACCGTGTGTCGTAGAAACCTCAACTTTTCCTTACTTTAAACACAAGAAACTTGAAAAAGACCAAGAAAAATAGAAAAGCAAGCAAAGTGTTCTGATTTTGTTTGAACTTCAAATTAAAAGCTTACCTGAAATCTTTTAGTTCTTGCTTTGTACTGCTTTCATCTCTTTTATTTTCTGCTGCCTCTGCATTAGCCGCCTGCTGTAAGCTTCGCGTAATAGGGCCTCCAATCCTTTCTCTACATTTTACACTGAACCTGTCTGCTTTTTTCTTACTTGCCATAGCAGACTTACTTGGCAAAACAGCTTTATTATTTCTTTGTATTCTGACATGCAATTTCCGGGATGCTTTGCTCGAGATGCCAGAGGAACTGTTCTTGGCTACCACTTTAGTTTTTTTCCCTTCAACATGAGTCATTTTGGACACTCTTACGGGACTAGAGTTCCTCAAGGCTGAAGAAGAATTTGGCTTTTTGGATCGAATTGGAGGTACAAATTTAACACTCTGTTTTGATTTGAAGGATGCAGAAGGCAGCTGAATTTGCGCAGGTCCTGAGGTTCGTGCTCTCGTCTTGCCCAAGTGAGCCTGCATACTCTGCATTTTGATTTCTGCATCTGCTGTTCGCCTACGCTGGTTGTTTCCTTTTTCAGTGCCTGCAGCTGACGAAGAACTTGCACTTTTTTTGGATGAATTTTTTTTAGAGGATGGAGAGATGGGTTTTTTGGGACAGCTATACGATGCGTGTTTGTTCAGGCTTCCAATGTAAGTAAATTCTCTATTACAGTATGGGCAGATATGAGAGTCTGACTCRGATGGATTATTTTTCAACTCCGCCTTCTGCTGTGCAGATTTCTTTTTTTGCAAGATAGCTTTCTGGACAAGCTGGTTTTTCTTTTTCAATGCACTTATTTTCAGTTTATTTGAGGACATTTTGCTTATCTCAACATTGAAATTAAGTCTTTTAGGCTGACCCATTCTTCTAAAGGCATTCTTTCCAGGGCCAGCTAGAACCACCATGCCATTCTTTGGCTGCACTGTCTGTTTCAGTGGCACTGGATTTTTTTTAGGTGTGTATCTCTTTTTATCACTGGCAGATGCACATGCCAATATGTGTTTGTGTAGCTCAGGCATATTATCAACACTTTTTCCACATTTTGTGCAACGAATGGCAGTAGTAAAGGTCTGTGGGATATTGTGGGTAGTGAAATTAGTTGCAGTGACTCCAATACCCATAGGATTACGATGATGATACTGAAAGGGAGGTGGTTTAAAGCTTGGATAGTGCTGATTGAGGCCCATACGAACATCTGGATCTTTAGATTTTACACCAGAAGCCATTATTTTTATAGTAGTATACAACTCTTCTGAGGAATCATTTAGCTCTTCATCATCCTCCTCCTTAGAAAGGTCTAGAGAGTCCTGGGGGAAGCTCTGCATGTGCTCTGCGTTCGCCTTGCTGGGATCAGTGAAATTCTGGGGTCTCAAAGTCCCACTTTCAAACTCATGATGTGTGCATTCTTTGTCTGGATGGAGATCGCGCTGATGCTGTTGCAAATTGCACAAAAAGGCAAATTCCTTTTTACAGACTGAACAAACAAAGATATTTCCTACTCCATGAAGCAGAAAGCGATGTTCYGACAAGTCTGTTTTATCCCTAAAGAGCTGTACACAGAATTCACATTTGAAGGGCCATTCTTCAGCATGAACAGATAAATGCTTAGTTAGGTCTTTAATAGAAAGAAAAGGTGATTCACAAACATTGCACACAAAGTTTTTATTGAACGTTTCCTGCACTATTCCTGATTCAGCTGAAGTCTGAGGATCTTCTCTTAATTTTTGTTCACTATCAGTTTCTTCTTGCTTTATAATTGGGAGASTATTTTCAAGATTATCGGTTGAGGAAACAACAGAAGAAACTACTGAAAGAGGAGGTGGAGATGGAGACGATGATGAGGAGGAGAAGGAGGAAGACGACGACGAAGAGGAAGAGGAGAGAGTAGGAGGACCAGGTGAGGCAGCAGGTTCAACAGAAGGAACTGGAGATGGAGAAGGAGAAACTGTAGGTGAAAGAACAGGTAGAGGGGACTGGGCAGTAGTGTTAGAGAGGGGTGATGGGCAAGAGGATGTGTTAGTGGCACTTGCAGAGGCATCTGGAATGGGTAACGGTATCGTGGGAAGGAGGGGAGGAGGCGATGTAGCAACCGTTAAGACGGGTGGGCAGGGTGGTGGGGAAGGAGGGTTTGTTGGTGTCAGCAAAGGAGGCAGCTGGCACATTAAAGCTACAGATGTCTGTGGCACAGGAGAGACGGAAGAACTAGGGGGCTGGGTTTCAACAGAAGATGCAAACAGACCGGGATCCACGCCAGGTTCTGCCTGAGGTTCCAAGGATTTGCTGGGGCTTGGGCTTCTGTTTGCACTGGGGGTGCTGTCCATAGCTGCATCCATTCCGTTATACTCATTCAACAGAACCTTCTGTAACATGCAAGTTATTGGTTTCTTCTTTTTAATACCACTACAGGTTGGCTGTAGGGAATTATTTTCTTTATACTCCCTAATTTCAGCATCACCACAAGGCTTCTTATGCACACTTAAGTCTAATACAGATTCCCAAGGAACCTGATTCTTATTTTTAAGATCAGCTCTTTGTTTTACACCACTAGATAAATCCAGTGGCTGCTGGTTGCACACACTGCCAAAAGCTGGAGCTGCTATCCAGTCCTTAGATGCTTTATAGTCTTCAAAGCAATGAGGGCTCATGGTCTCTCTTTCTTCCCTTCCAGCCAAGCTCCATGCAGGTGAGTTGCTGTGGCTTTCTAACTTTGGCATTTTTGAACTCCGAATACTATCATTCCACACAGTTTTTCCCTCACCTGATTTAACAAAGTCTCGAAGTACTGGACTGTGCTGTGGAGAGCTGGGAGGAGAGCTGGTCCTTCTTTTGAACCTACTAGATACTGGAGGCAAAATAGGTGGTGATGTAACAGAGGGTCCCAGTTCAGGGATTTCATTTGATGGACTTATCTTCTTAGTATCCTGTGTCTGAAGAAGCTGCTTTAATTTTGATGACAAATAAATACCTTTTTCTTTATGAAAAGTTAAGTTCTCTGTTGAAATGCTAAGAGGAAGATTTAAGGAGCTAGCAGGAGTTATAGGTTCTGGGTCTATTTCAGTTTTTATTTTTGGTACAAGAGGAGGGCTGGCTGTTCTCCTCTTTTTGGATTCATTGCTCCCAGTGCTCGAGGGATCTTTCGGAAGTTCATTCACGTGCGTTTGCGTAACCTTTAGATTTTGGGAAATTTCCACTGTGACTGGACTGATTATACAATTTAGTCCATACAAGTCTGTAGAGTTAGACTCCATCTGAATCACATCACAATTGCTAGTGCTGTTGTTGGACTGAATTTTACCATCAATGTAATAATTTAAGTTTTCAGAGATATTGCTGGAAATATCCATAATATAAACATCATCCACTTCACCGTCCTCTTCCACTTCCGTGCTTGCTATGTACACACTCTGGACTGGTGCGGCCTGCTCAGTTTGAAGTTGTGGCTCTTCAGGAAAGAATCCTTTTCTTCTGACACCTTTGGGAATAAGATGTCGCTCATGAACCCTACGCTGATGCCTCCGCATGTTGGTATGAGTTCCAAAAACCTTTTTACAGTATTTACATGGATGCAATTCTTTGGGTTCCTTATTTTCTTCAGCAGATTTGGAAATTTCTTGGGAGACTYTCTCAGAATCCAAGACTACGGAATCTTGCACAAGACCGGTAACATTCAAGTCATCTTTAAGACCATCATCGATAACTACTTGGTTATCACCAACATTATCCAGGTGTTGTGATGATGCTAGTGTTAAGAAAGGTTTCCTCTTAGGCCCCGCCTCATGACGCCGCTCATGTCTTCGTCGGTTAATTTGCGTACCAAAAGCCTTCCCACAATATCGACATTTGAAAGCATGGTTAATAGTAGATATATGGATGTGCATATGGCGCTCAAGTCCTTGCTTTGTTGTAAACTTTCTCTCACAATGCTGACAGGGAAACATAAATGTTTCCTGGACATCACCATTGGATTCATCATTTGCTTTTGGAATTTTCACAACAAGTGTTTTCTTTGGAGAGCTTTCTGGAGAGTCTTCTGACATACTCTTCTGCTCTTCCATAGAATCTAACTTTTCTTCACATATCAAAGGCATTTCAGCATTCTCTTTAGGCATACTGGTATCGTCTACATCCTCTTCATCTTCCTCATCTTCATCCTCCTCCTCCTCCTCCTCCTCTTCCTCATCCTCATTGAAATGATCTGATCCATCTGATCCACAGTTTATTGATGCTCCTTGGGTGTCTTCAGTTATCATCTGCGACTCACCGGTGGGACTGGGGATCATCAACTTAGGAAGTACATCTTGATTTACCATTTCCTGAATCACAGCCGTTTGTTCCACGGAGAGCACAGCAGAAACGGAAGGCTTTTCATCTTCCTCCTTAGGACCTAATAAACAAAGCACAAGAAGTATGAGCCACTTTAACAACCATCCAAAACATGATACTCTTCTATCTGCCCTCTATCACAAAAACAGTCAACATTTATGACCCAAGGAATATTTATCAGTGTTTGGATTTGGTTGCAAGAAAAAAATAAATAAAACTACTCAAATTTATTTTTTGSAGCTTCAGCAAAACAGACAACTACTCACACTCAACAGAGTAAGAAACTTAAAAATGAACATGAAATTTATCATAAAGCCTAAAAGAGTCTGAAGAGTACTAGAATATTTCATTGTAGACTTCAGAACACTTCAACAATCCTCAGAAAGATCTTCACTGATTTTTATTATTGCAAAGAACTGTCAAAAAAGCAGTACAGAAGTATTTTTCTCTAATTTGATGTTCTGAGGAATTCAGATTTACATCTAAGTTTTACAGCACATTAGTTTTTCCATATTTTCAGAACAGACATCCACATTACTGTAAGAAAGACTGTGCACAATACAAACATATTCAATGCGATCGGTGCACCTCTTAAATTCAAAAAGACAGAAGRTAGACACTTGAGTGCTCTCACCCTCTTTAGAATCCCTCATATCTGCAGAAGTAGAATCCAAATCAGTCTTTTTCTGCTTTGTATCCGAAGCCTTCTTTCCCTTGTTTTTACCCTCTTGAGCCTTTTTCTTGCCTGGGAGAAAAAAAGTATCTTTATCATTCCTGTTCAGTAACTTAGTTTTCATATCAGAATTTAATGTTAACCCCACATGCTAAAAGCGCCAAAAAGCCAAACTGTAAAATAAAGAGAGGGGATGGTGGGAAGATGACTTTGAAATTACACATCAACATATTTAATTTTCGCATCTGTTCTGTGATTATAAGTACAGTAGCAAGTCTCAAAGAAATCGAAAGTAAGGACACATCGAGTTTCTAAAAACGCAGAAGATTCTGAACGAGCAACTTTATGGCATTGTATTGTTTGAATTTAACTAGCTTATCTCATACACAAACCCTTCACATGGCTACCGGATTAATGTGTCTAATACTAGTATGCAGAAAATATGAAACTGGTTCGTATACTATTTATCTTTAATGTCAACTGGAAGACCGTAAGTGGAATCCTACAGATGTTTCTATACTTGTTCGAACATTCTGAATAATGACCTGGATAAGACAATTACATTAAAAGCAAGGAAGTATAAACACTACCAGAAGACTAAAAGCAGMATGATCTGGATCAAAAAGATAAAGGCAGTAAAAACAAATTAGATGGAATTGGGTAATAGCAGTGAGGTTCTTTATCACGTCCGCTGACACAAACAAGTTTGCCAACACTTGCTGTTTGAAAAATTAAGAAGGATTTAATAGTTGTGCAGGATGAACACACTGTAAAGGYTAGGACAAAAAGGCATTATACAAAGACTTAATCACTGATGGAAGACAAACTAAAACATCATTAACTTCATTTACTACTGCACTACAAAGGTGTAGTATCATCATTATTTTCCCCCCACGTGCTTTAAGATTCAGTCAAGACATCTTCCAGCTGAAGTCACTGCTAATACTTTATTTCCCTGTAGACTGATATTTTATATATAACCCTGCAGCTGAGACACCCGTTTCTTCTGAAACCTTACACTTCCACACATCCAGCTCTTAAGAATGAGAATTCTTCAAGATCAGCAATCCGAATTCCTCCTTTGCTCCCTCTAACATAAAGAATGCTACTCTAACATACTGACCCTTCCCTCTAGTCAGAGGTGTGAATCATAGCCCTAAATCCATCTCTCATTTAAAAGCACATTCTTCCAACTCATAATCCTGTCAACAAATTCCTCCTTCTTCCTTAAAAATATTTTTCACATCTGGTGCCAAGAATCTGTAGATGCGTTTAGAGAAAAGTGCTCCTCTATTCACACAGGAATTTTCAAAGTATGTGCCCCCTCCTCTAGAACAGATCAGAGAGCCAGGCAGCACCAAAAAGAATATGCTTGTTTATATTTTAACAGTCTATATTATATGAATAATCACCTACATTTATTTCCCAAAGAGCTTGAGTTTAACTGTCTCTCCCYGAAATGTGCTTCAGTTTGTGACCAATTAGCCATTTTTTCTTATTCCAAGCTAAGAGTTTTTAGTCCGAGAAACTGATACCACAGTCAAAGTTCAGAATTTTGTCTTTAGAAAACATACACACACACACACGCCCTTGACTAAATTAGCAATTCTCTCTTAATCTGCTCTAATACTATAACAATTACTATCTTTAAMATTTTCCTGAATGAAGGAACTCCACCTCACTTGGCGGTACAATACGAGGTTTCAATACCAGACGCTGGCAAGTTGCCACACGATTCAGTGAACGTTTTGATGGTCACACAGACATAAGGAGTTTAAGTGCTTCTTTATTTCATAGGCTACCTAATATTCAATTAGAACAAAACTCAATAAGCATCTCTAATGCTCCTAGTAACAACGTGTAGTAGAGAAGTTCTGAGTAAGAAGAATGTCAAATACATTTCCAAGTCTCTCATGAAATGCAACATCACGAGTCTCATTTCTAGGAACTAAACCTTGCAAAAATTTCAGTACATTTCTAGGGAACTGGACACGCATCACAACTCACATTAGTAGCAAAGTATCAAAACAGAGCCTAGCTGTGAGATACTTGGTAAGTAATATATTGCAGACTGCTTATCCTTTGAAGAACAGTATCAGTGTGCAGACTTTCAAGGCGATGTTTTAGATGCGTGCCTCTCACCTTTACAGATAAAACCAGAAAAAAAGAAAGATAAGACCGATCCACGGACCACAAAGACTACTGTTGTGCCCTTCCTCCCCACCAGTGCCATTTCCCTCTACAAAAGGATCCAGTTTATTTAAAAAACAAACTAACAAACAAAAAGCATCAGTCAAAACACTCAGAGCCTCCCTGGGCCTCATGTCTCTGTGAAACCATCATGGTTAGAGAGGTTTTTTCACAATATGGTGCAGCATGCAAGGGCACTGCAGACACAGGCCCTGGGCACTTCTAGATCTGCTTCTCAAGCAGTGTTGTATTTCAGCATAATATCGAATTATATAAAAGCCTTCAAACTGGAACCCAATTAATTTATTCTTACAGAAAGATTAGAAATCATGTTAMTATGTGAGATATTATACATTAAAAAAATTCACTCAATCCCTAAAGAGAAATTYTGAAATACCCTCAATTTGCAGAATACATTATAGTACCCAAAAACTGACTGTAAATGGCAGAAACACTAGATAGCAGAATTTAACTGAAGTTGAATTACTTAGGYGACCTCCTTGCTTATCCTATTGATGGAGAGATCATCTGCAAGTTACTGCTTGACACACTCTGGGGAGGTGGGGGAAACAACCTGCTCACAGATATAGTTGGATTTTTTTTCAAGTTCTTGGCCTTTAAGGATAAATACATTCAAATAGAAGATTCATCTACCACCTGCCTTTACTCAGAATAGCAAGCATACATATATAATTTAACATGTGTCAGATCAATTTGTGACAAGTATCAACTAGAGTTACCAACTGTTTTTCAATGTTTTCCTCGGATCAGCTTTAGCTTGGTCATTTTCTATGTTGCTGTTCTCCTTCGAATTCTCTGCAGTCAAGCACTGCAGCGACTGTCACAGATGCACCTATTTCAATGTCCCAGGGCTGATATAGATCAAAAGCAGATGCCCAGAAAAGAGAATTAAAGAAGAGGGTACTCATGAAGTGATACCTCCCTGGTATACTCTCCTAGCTTTCACCTATCTGTAATTCAGAAATTTTAAAAGAAAGCATCTAATAGTCCTTGACTGAGTTTCTCTCAATGAGTTCACAAAGTGCTTTTTAAAATCTATGTAARCTTGAAAGATTTGAATCATTTTCCCCCTGCACATTTCCAATGAAAACCAGCACCTGAAATTTTGTTATAAAGGATATCAATGAATAACCTAAGACACCTGTGTCTCAATTTTTTTTTTAAAGTTTAAGATGTCAAGAATTAACAGAAGCCCACAGGAGGGAGAAAAAAAATCCTTGCAGTATAGAACCTGGTGGAAGCCTGAGCATAAGTACACACGGGCACTTACCATCAGGTTCCTGAAGGGTCCTACATGGCTGCTACTGCCAGCTGGATCCTCCACTTGGTCTAAACAAGAAAGATACAGGAATGAAACACAGGGAAAGTGAAATGGAAACAATGACAAAAGAATAAATGAAGGGCAGAAATCAACATATGTGTATGTGTGCTAAAAGAACTGCAAAAGAAAGATGCAAAGGAAACTGAATGAAAGAAATAGATGAAAGCTAGCTGTCTACAGTGACAAAGACTCAGAGAGGAATGAATCAAATCTCTTGCCACATACTTGTTAATATGGTTCCTTTTGCTTCCATTTCCTTCATCTACATGTTGCAGATAGGTCAGCAAAAGCATTGTCTAATTTTTATACCCTTAAAATACCTGTATGATCTCTGTTAGCACAAGACCTGCAATAGACACACGGAAACTTGGGCTAGTGCCAAGATCCAGATAATCAACCAATACTTATGCTACAATCCTGCGTACTGCAGAGGAGTTCAGATGTCACCCAAGTAAGGGGAAAAAAAAAAAAAAAAAAAAAAAAAACCACACACACTACTCAAGAAAGTAATCTTTACTGAAAGCAATCTTCATTCTTCTGCACTTACGACCTTTAGTCTTACTGATCAAACTAACTCCTCTCTAACAATCTACAGCGTTTGTGCTGACATTTTTGTTAACCATAACATAAATGGAATTGAAGAATGCCGGACAGTGACTTCTCTTGAGATGGCATTTCCTTACATTTTGGCATGAATCTTAACATTAAATACTCTAAATTGTGAAAGACATTACCAGCCTTAGTAACTTTAAATGAAAAAACATGCTCACAGAACTATAAAGAAAGATGTTTGAGATCAGATATGAGATTTCCCAATGCTTTGATCATCAGGACAAACAGATGTTTATCTCCCCCCAAAGCTTGGGCTACTAAGTAGAAAAAGAAATTACTGGTATTATTTGAGGTATTCCTCTGGAATCTGTAGACAACACAACTGCCTGCAGCTCACTAGCACATCTAGCCCATGCTCATTTATTTTGTTGATAAAAGCATCCACCACTCTGCAGCACACAGTAAACAAACTAGCTTTGAACTGCTATCCAAAGTTTTTTTGCAATTTGATACACAACAAGTTACTCCTCTACCTTGTTCAAGACACAGGTTCTTGGGGGGAAAAAAAGAGGAAGCTGAAGTCAAAGCAGCAGGCACAAGTCAGAGTCAGTAAGTATTGACTAGGACAAGACTAGGAAAAAGAAAACATGGCAACCTCAAAAGAAAAGTTTTAGGAATTTTGCTTTAAAAAAAAACAACTTTAGGACATTAGGTTCCAGTCTTTCTCACGTAATATTACTGTTCATAAAACATACCGATTTTGTCCTTARTGATTTGCATTTGAAGTACTGCTTTGCAACTTATTTAGAGGAAACTCAGCTCAAACACTCAAGTGTAAATGTGTGTGTGCACGTGCACGTGTGTGCATCTGTTCAAAAATACACTATTAGCTAAGGAGGAACCATCTTTTGAACTCAATCATCAAACTTTAAACAAAACAGAACATGAAACCACCGACTAGCAAGTGCTCTGGGCAAAATACTCAGGC